TTTTTGTTTCATATTCTGCAATTTCCTGATGTTTGGTGCTTAAATTTTCGCCTTGGGTGTTTTTGTTTCGTCTTCTGCAATTTCCTGATGTTTGGTGCTTAAACTTGTATGAATTTGCTTGTATGAATCTGCTCTGCCGCTGGCCTGCTGCCGGAGCCGGACCGGATCCATCTGCTTTGCTACCGCTAGAGCCTGCTGCTACGAAGCCATCTGCTGCCATTGCTATTGCTGCCGTTCCCCGTGGGGAATGGGGATCCCCGCGGGATCGCCATTCTCCGCGGGGAACGGGGACGGGGGGCAAAATCTGCCTCCCCCCTAAAAAAATCCCCACGGGGATCCCCGTCCCCGTGACTCACGGGGATGGGGAAGGGATCCCGGTCCCGTGGATCCCGTTGACATCCCTACCCACAAATCATAAACCATAACTAATAAAACCCTATATTTATAAAATATTGAGTATAGGTAAAAAAAAGCATAAGTATATGGCAAATATGTTGCAGTGAATACGGCTGGTGGATCGTAGTTTCATGTCGACGGCATAAATGTATCTTCATTGTCACAACACAATTCCAAAATTTTGATCTCTTGGTCAGTAAGAATAATTTTGTAAGATAAAGCTAAAGATTTAAGTACACTGAGACCTATATAAAAAAATAATTTTATTAAATATATTAAATCGATATGTGTGAGATGCAGTAATTAATTTATAAACACCTTGGTTTCTTAAAAAAAAAAAAAAGGGACTTTACTTTCACAAACGACCTTAGCACACCCAGTCAACCACGTTTCCTTGTGTTCTTCCACGCAATCTGTGCGTAAGCCATATCCAATTAGTGTGAAATTTAGATGGTGGCAAACTAGGGATTGGCGGCAGTGACGAAAAACTTCACTGGTTGCTGTGACCCGTGGGATGTTTGTTTATTTATTTATTGCCATTGCCTAATGTTAATTTTTAGTATTTAATCTTTTGGGTCATTTGCAAACTCATCCTTTACTTTCAAAACCGAGCAATGGAGTCTATCACCTTCTACAACATTTCTAATTTGTTCCTCTCCATTGGTCTCGTTTGAAATTGTACGCAATTCAAGTGAGAATTGAATTGAGTTTTCATAAATTTAAGGACTTACATGCAAATAAAGCACTCAATGTCATTTCAGCACTTCATAAAACAACACCACTGGCGCCCACTTTTTCACTGTGATGGAGGCTTTGGGCCACACACAGTCCAGTTTCGGACTTGTCAGCCATATAGAGAGGCTGCAACTTTTGGGCTTGTACTGCATGAATTTGGACTCAGCCTTACTACTCTCTAGTCCCTTTTTCGAAATGGGATAATTACATAATTTTGTGTAGTGGGCTAGCGGCCTCACACTGGACCAACCAAACCCAGCCTTACATCAATTCCATATATATTACAACACATAAACAACCATAGGAAACAGGGCCGTCCAAAGCAGTAACAGACTATCTACGTTTACTTTTAACTGCATAATAATTACTAACTCTCTCTCTCTCTCTCTCTTTTAAACGGTAGAAAAATAACTAACTCTCTTTTCTTCATCCATTTAGAGATTCACATTATTATTATTTCCATAGGAATAGTCACCAGTAACTAGAAGTTCTAACTCCTCACCATCAATACGGCCTTTCCCCGATATAATTACCTGGTGGATCATAGTTACACGTCATAAAAACATCCCCACCGTCACAAACAACCCGAGCGCACCCAATTCTCCTCGTGTTCTTCCAGACAATCTGCGTGTAATGGCCGCACATCTGACCTTCTTGGCAGGTATTGGTCACGTAATTATAATATTTCTCCTCATCAGCCCATACACTGACGGCATCTCCTGGCTTCCAGTCGGAGCCACTGCCCCAGAATATGTTCTCTCCAAGCTTGAAGTCGTTCTCCGGGAATGAGTGCTCCAGCTTGCAATCTGCTTTCCTCTGACCCGCCCACCACCGAGCGTATTTCTCCAGCTGAAAGTCCCATAGCAGTGGGAGCTCCCACTTGACCGCCCTGACCATATTGTGTGCAAACAGGAATTGGAGTGACTCGCCAATGCATCCCCAGCAGAGTTGCTTGGAGATTTTATATATCGTTTCATTATCAGGGATTTTTTTCCTAGGTGATGGATTAATTTCTTGGGATGTGGCTAGAGAACTTGTGTTGAGAATGGTGAAGAGAATTATGAGGAGAATATGTATCTTGGGTTGGACAAAGGGGGAGGAGTTACAAATGTTCCTCTTCATGTTGGTTTTGTGGTTCTTGCTTATTATTGTTCTGAAGAGCCCTGCTGCTGTTTTTATATGAATTTCAAGGAGATGCTGTGGGCTTGGCGATGGTGGATGAGATTGGAGATACAATTGCAGCGCGTGAAATACAAGATCCAATCAATTCCAAGCATAGGCTGTTATTGGTGGTGTGAATTGGAGAGTGATGAACAATTTCAGTGGTGGATTGGGGCGGGTTTCGATGTTTTAGCATGAAATTATGGAAGATGGTCTCGTGAGCAGAGTTATGTTATGCCCGTGAGCTCTCTGTTGTTTGGATTTTGTGACAAAGAGCCCACCTTGGGACATTCTAGAGAATGAGCGTGAAACCCTTTTTTTCGTGATTTGTGTCTCGCATCCCTCCTCTTAGTCAAAGTAGATAGGAGCCTAAGATTTACACAAATTTATATATATTGAATATAAATAAAATTGTTGAAATTGGATTTTATTATTTTATAATTTTTTAAAGAAAATGCAATTTCATTCTATAATTCATCAAGTCGGCATTCTTACCTCCGATCAGCATAAGCATTGCATCAACTCAAGGCAAAACCTGCATTGCTGAAAATTAAAACAAAAACTGAAAGACAACTTCTTAATAAAATTCATTAGATGCCGTTGGTGCACAACATGGATTTAGTGACTCCGTAAGAGTTACAAACAACCCACGCACATCCACTCCGATATTTTGGGTGTAATAGATGTAATTAATATTTAAAAACATGTTTTATAATTGTCAAATACTTAAATAGGTTTTTTTGGTCATTTCATTTTTTTAAATTAAAAACTCTTGAATTCAAGTCGCATGACATGTGAATGATATCAGGTAAGGGATGAGAGATAATTACATTTCATTATGTAATTAAGATAAAAAAATATTTTATAATTCAAATTATTTTGTATAGTAAAATATTAATTATTTAATGAAAATATATTTTTTATTAAATAATTTGTATTTTATAATTTGAAATAATTTAAATTATAAAATATGAAACATTTAATACTTTTAAAAAATATATAATTATAATATTACAATATATTAAAAATTATAATTGTATTACATTATTATATAATTAATTATATGTGTAATAAATTTTTATTTATTTAATAATATATTATTATGATTATAATTATGGGTGCCTTTCATGTTATTATATTAAATGTTAAAACAAATTCCACGTTATTCGTCGCATGTGATCCTTTTTCCCTTTTGGCGCCTCAATCACTGTAACCTGTAAAAACCGCCGTTGAAATTATATTTTAGCGTTCCAAAAGATTAGCATTTGGTTTTTTTGCCCCCCTATTCTATTCAATTTCACTCGACAATTGCATTTTCCTTTATTTCCCATGCTCCTCTACTCATGATCGCCTCCATTCACTCCCCTCGATTACAGAACCCGTTCTCTGTAACTTTCCGGATCTCTGCCGCGGGCAGTCGTCGATTCAGTAGATCTGGTGCCTTGGAGTTTGGTCGGAGGAGGATGGAGTGGTTTCGCAGCATCGGTAGCGGTTGTTTTAGGAACTCGGAGAGTAAAAGCGGGCTGAGAGTGGAGCAGGACAGTGGCGGGGAAGACGTGTTCAATGTCTCCGCTGTCAATTCTGGAACGCCACCGGATCATCTTGTTATCATGGTCAATGGCATCATTGGAAGGTAACTCTCTCATTTTAGTCACATGCTTTTCTTTCTGCTTGTATATGTTTACTTTGGAGAAATGAAATTTCAGTTCGATTCGCCCCTTAGGTTTTCTTCTTGACGTTTGAGATTTGTATCACGCCATCCTGAAATGTATGATTCAAGGTTAGTAGAGTGGATTGTGTTGATATGGAAATCGAGAGCCTGCTGTATTACATTGTTTAATTAGTGTTAAAATTGATGTAAGAAGTAACTTAGAGATTGACTTGTTGAAGTTGAGAACAAAACGAGAAGATGAACAACTTCTGGTTTTATATGAAGAAGTGTTTTCTTTAAGTCTGTGGTAACTCCTTACTTCAGACTGTACAATTTTACTGATGTATATGTTTAGTTGTCAAAATTTTGATCATTTTCTTTCATTTGTTAAAACTCATCAGCATTGAATTTTATTGGCGTTAATTGCATATAAAATATAGGTGTTTTTAGTTTACTGTGGCAACTTCATAACATTATTTACTTGTATTTGATTTAATATCTGCTCTATCTTTTTAATTGATATGCAAAAAGAGGCTTACTGATAATCTATATTCATTGTGTTCAGTGCTGCTGATTGGAGATTTGCTGCAGAAAAGTTTGTGAAGAAGCTACCTGATAAAGTAATAGTGCACCGTGAGTCTCCTTTCTTATGTGGTCCCCCTAACCCAAACATTCTTCTTTTGCTTCAACATTTGTTTTGACAATTTAATGTGCCAGCTTGATGTCTTAAAACTTGTCTTATGTGTTGCTAATGGATTTTTTTTTTTTTTAATGGTCAAAAGTTGCTAAATGTGAAAAGGGGATGTTTATAGGCAGAGTAAGGAGATGGTATGTCAATGTGTATAAAATAATGTAGTGTGATGTAGCATCTTCTAATTAAAACAGGGAAAGGTAGGCATCTTCCTGAGGGTCTTATGAAAATGGTTGAGTCTACTAAGAAGATTAAGGGAAGTATTACCACAGTGGGCTGAACAACCTGCCCACCAAGTCAAATCAGTCTAATGCATCCCAGTAATTTGGAGTTATGCCCTCCCACCCATGCTGTTATTAATCTATTTCTTTTCTGCACGAAATCTTTGCTTCTTTTGAAGTACCATATAATGCTTTAGTAACATAAAATATCATGGAAGCTTGTATGATCTAGAACAAGGGGATCAGTTCACTTAACATAGCTAATTTAGAGGTATCAACTTGATTTAGAATAATAAAGCATGTTAACAACATTAATAAAATTTGCAGGGAAAGTATCATAATGACTATGACACCTAGACTATTGTAGATTGGTTTTCTTTTAAGGAATAGGTTTGAATAAGTAAAAATCAATGTCTATGATTTAAACTTTTCATATTTTGAATATATTTTTGCATCCAATGAAATTTAGAAAGTCCAAGCTACAAGTATCAACCATTCTATATTGTGGAGCATGGAATTAATAAAAGAAATGCACATAAAACACACACTTCTGACTTTAAGTAAAGGATATCGGTTGAGTGTGCTAAAGATTGAGTTTTCATAATAATATGTGGTTTTGACAATGTATAACTTTGTTTGAACAAAAAATTGAAAATAAGACAATGTATAACTTTGTAGAGTTGTTCAGTGCAAGAAATTTATTTTAGAAAAATGATACCTTTGTACAGTTGATTGCATCCTGAGGGGTTTCTGATTTGTTACTTAAAGATTTGGTTTGATATTCTGTGTACAGGAAGTGAATGTAACTCCTCAAAGTTAACATTTGATGGCGTTGATCTGATGGGCGAGAGACTAGCTGAAGAGGTATTTTGGTAATAGTGTCTTAATCTTCTTGTTTACTGGCTTGTTTTAATTTATTACGCTGTATGGCACTTTTCTTTCTTGATTTTTGTTCTGGAAAATGGCAGTTTAGACAGGACGAAATCTAGTCTTTAGTCTTTGAATAATTTGCGATGCAGGTACTGGCAGTTGTCAGACACAGACCTGAGGTTCAGAAGATCTCTTTTGTGGCTCACTCTTTAGGTGGTCTTGTTGCAAGATATGCTATTGGAAGGCTCTATGGGCATTCTTCAAAACTAGATCCATTGGTTCACCATGGGGGCTTATTAAGTGAAGAGCATACAAAATCTTTAATGCAATGCCTTGAGCGGCCTTATGAAGCTAGACTTGCTGGATTGGAACCCATGAATTTTATAACCTTTGCAACTCCGCATCTTGGCTCAAGGGGACATAAACAGGTAACTTTAATTATCAAAGACTTTTATTAGTGGGGTGGCTTTACTAAAAACAGTTGGATAAGTAAGAAATTTAGCTTAAATGCAAGGTGACACCTATATTTCCTTTCTTTTTTTAAGGATCCACTGGGGTCCTCACTGCCCTCAGCTGGATCTCTGAAATTTGAATATGTTAGGAAGATTATTAGCAGTTTATATGGGGAAAATTGTGGAGTATGCTGTAATAAGTTTCTTAGTTTGTACAGTTAGCATGTCTTCTGACCATCAGACCTTGATTTCCATTTAAATGCTTAGCTCGGTCATTGATGTGATCATATTGTTTTACGTATAATGTTTTTGTTTTTGCAGCTTCCACTTCTGTGTGGTCTTTCTTTTCTTGAGAAGAGAGCATCTCAAACTGCACATTTGGTTGCAGGGAGGTCTGGGAAGCATCTGTTCCTCACCGACAATGATGATGGAAAACCCCCCCTCCTCCTTCGAATGGTTAATGATTCTGATGACCTGAAATTCATGTAAGTGTTAATATATCTTGATCCAGAACTGCTCAAAAGCTGATTTCAACTGTTAGCTTTTTTCTGTATGTGCAATATCATCTTTTTTTATTGATCTGTATAGATCAGCTTTGCGGGCATTTAAGCGACGTGTAGCATATGCAAATGCTAATTATGATCGTATCCTTTCTGAGGTGAAAGTTATTTTCTGAATTAAGTGCATCTTGCTTACATTTAGAGTCTTCTTTTTTCCTTTTAAAAAGTGTTATCTTCACTCCAATATAAGATATGGTTGGGTGGAGAACATCATCAATCCGGCGTCAACATGAACTTCCAAAGGTGAGTTTTCATTTCAATTTTCCTTTTGTTACTCAATTAATTCATTCACATTCGCTGAATTTTTGTTTCTTATCTCTTAAGTATATTAATGTCTTTTCTTCTCTACTTCCAGTCCAATCTTCTTGTAATAGATGAGAAATATCCACATATTGTATATGTTGAGCAAGAAACTAGAGATAATGATAAAGCATCTTCCACTGATAGAAAACAAACAGGCAATATGGAAGGTTAGTGCAACTTCTCAACATTAGAACTATTTCTTATCTTTTAGTAAAATCATCAAAAATCTGTGCATGGTATTGCTTGTTCAAAAAGTGCAGCTTCTCATTCTTTTAGTTTTGTCTGACTTACTGCTGGACATGGTATACTATTGTTTCATAACTATAAATTGATATACCAACAAGTGAAGTTAGTTATGGGCCAGTCAGCATATGTGTTTTAGAAAGAGGAAACATATCCATTACTCAGTTTTGGGGGGAAACAAAATTAGCTCATAAAATCATTTAAAACTGAGTAGCTCTTATGAATAATGAATTCTACCCTGAAATAAAAGGCCTAACATTCTGGATCAGACTACTTTTAGATTCTTGGTTAATTTATCTTGTAAAGTAAATAACTAAGACCTGATTACCAATTTTTCGAAGATTGTTTTTGGAATGTCATTTTTGATTTAGGTGCCTCTTGGTGATCAAGGATTAAGTAATTTCTTACTTTATTTACCTTTCACAATCAAAATTTTAAATGAGCTTTATTATCTTACTGAGTATTTAATGTGAAAGTCATTCACATGTGTTTCCTAGAAACAGAAAATTATGTCCTTTTGAACATAATAGTTAATATGTTTTTGAAGCATGTTTCTAATATTGTTCAATTAATGTCAACATTGATGGAAAAGGATAAACAACTCATCAATAAACTTTTAAACTGAAAAGGGTTGTTTTTGTACAACCACTTTAGCAAGAAACTATACTTTTCCTCTACACAAAGTAATATGAGTAATTCTTTCTGAGTAAGCAGCATAGATGAGATATTGTATCCCAGCAGTTTGGTTTAGGGTCGACATCACTGTAAATATCAAAAGTCAAAAGTGTTGATTGTGGTTTCTATTTTGGAAGGTGGTATCATATGAAAAGTTGATACCTATTATTATCCTTCTTTTCTCTTTTGGTCTTTGATATTCTTTTCTTATTTTTCTTTGTTGATGTTGTGCTCCAAAAGATAGCAATGGTGTTGCTTATAAATTAGACCGAAATGCAATAGAACATTGTAAAACCTGCTGCAACTGATTTAATTACTCTTCTGGTTGTCATTCAGGGGGCAGACGTTATCTTGGTTTTTCTTTTGTATTCTTTGCCCTTTTGTTGATTGCTGTAATACTGTAATACTAATATGCAAATTTGTAATGGGTAAACTAAATAAGCAACATATTGCTCTTATGGATGTTCCTTGTCAGATCTTCATATAAATGACAAATTCATTTTTATATCTTGTTTAATTGTTTAAATTTCTTCACTCTTACCTTGAACATTCTCCCTTTAATTGTAGAGGAGATGATACAAGGACTCACTCAAGTACCATGGGAACGTGTGGATGTTAGCTTTCAAAAAAGCAGACAGCGATATGTTGCTCATACAACCATTCAGGCAAGTTCCGCATCTTATTAGGATTTGTTGCAACTGTTAAAGAGTCCAATCAATTGTTATTTTCTGGGTAATGTCACTATATCAGTATTAGAAGTATGGATTTCTTTATCATTTTAGTTTTTGATTTATTATACCACACTTTTTTCACCAAAAACGTAAAAAATTATACCACAGTGACACTGGATAATTTTTGCCTCTCGTGGGTTGTAGGCCCACCATGCTTTTGCCACCCCCCATATTACAGCATGTACCCAATTGTTGATAGGTGGAGAGTCACAATTTGATTATAGGACCAAAAGAAACTCCAAAACCAATATGGGATGAGACCACTTAACAAAGTGCAAATAGATGCTTATATATAGTAACAAAAAAGTGTTTTTTAGGTTGGACTGCACTTTTAATGTGCAGTACAACTACTGAAATTATTAAAATACCCTTAATGAAACCTTTTCTTATGTTTATTCATTAAGGATAACTTAGTAATTTCAGTGTCAGGACTTCACTCTTACTGTGCAGTCCAGACTGAAATACATGAATCTCTTATAGTAATGTATAGTATGAGGCTGTTAGTTCCGCAAGTTAGTCGCCAAATATTATGCTTCTTGTTTTTCTGCTTTTATCATTGGTCTCATACAGTTCTTTTCCTTATAGGTGACGAGCTACTGGTTGAATTCTGATGGAGCAGATGTAGTTTTCCACATGATAGACAATTTTCTTCTCTAGTGATATACAAATATGGCATCCTTTGCTTGGTCATTCAGCAATGGGTTAGATTACTTATTCTTTTTGCATCATGCATGGTGTCACACTTGAAGATATTATATTGTATTTTTTGTGTCATTGTTGAAATATCTGGGATGTTGCAAAGTTGTTGCTTATCTCACTATGTGCTTGTTGTCTTTCTTTTATAAGGATGCTGCTAATTTATTTCCTATTTCGAAAATGGAATATATTTTATTTGAATTGTGTTATATTGTCATACAATTAGTGTACTTTGAGATTAGGGTCTGGACATGTGATCTAGAATTTGTGGGAAATCAGAGTGAATTGAATTGAAACTCAATGTTATTCAGGTTGAATGAAAGAGAATGCACTTTTTTCTACCTTTTATCATATCTGGCTGAGTAATACTTTAAGACCACGTTTTATTCAGCTGCTGCTACTAGATACTTAATGATTTTTTCATTTTTCTGATAAGGATATTTAACAATATTTATAGCTTGATGGTTGGCTGATCATTCTTCATTGGCAACAAGCAATGTGTATTATATTCTAAGTGTGGTTGCACCATTAATTTTTTGCCTACAAGTTGCACGATTACTTTGAACTTCTTATGAAGATTAGATTTTCATATCTTTGGAGACAGAAAACTGCTGATGTCTTCTTTTGGCCTTCAAAACTGCTGATGTTGAGAGAGCTTACTTAGTTGTGTCTAAATATGTGTGTATGAGAGAGAAGCTACATTGATCTTGGCTAAATGTGTTCTTGAGTTTCATGATTAAATTAATTTGAGGATAATATGAGTATAATAGGTATTTTCTTTTGGGATTTGACATGTAAAGTAACTTTTTTTTCGTAACACTTTCTTTTGCTCTCACAATGTACTCTTTCATATCCACCATCCCATCTCATCCTCAATTTTGGTCACAGGATAAGTCTATGTCTTCAAAAACTTCTACCTGCTGCTTTTCTGTAGCCCTAAGTTTTTGAATAAGGACTCAAGATCTTTGCTAAGAAAGATTGCATTTTGATGTCGCTTGTTGAACATTGTAATAAATTGGACTTCTCATTTTTATTTTAGGAAAATACTTTTGCATTGGTATTTTGACTCATTATCATAACAAATTTGGAAATGATAAGGAAGAGGTATTCTACTGTTAGTTTTCTTAGAGAATATGTTTACAGTAAGGGTTTGCGCTTACACTTGAGATGAATTCAATGCCACTGACTTCTGCCTCTTCTTGCCCTGCTTGTTATTGAGGTTGATGGTTCATTTGTTAAAAGGTGATACTAGTTTGACCGTCAAAGGCTTGATCTTCCCTTTTCAGATCATGGTGACATAATAGAGATCAAATAGCTTACTTGACTTGAGAGAGAAGGTAAGAAAACTCTTTAGTTCATTTTCTGCCTCCCTTTTTATTGCTTCACTTTTTCCCAAGCTTTAGTTATAAATAAATATGCTATTGGTGATGTCTAAAGGCCTTTTCACCACTAGCTTTGATCTTGGATTGTTTTGTTATATCTACAGGCATAAATCAGCAACCATATCCTTTTCTGGTACATAAATCGGCAGTCATATCTACAGCCAATAATTTGAATAATACCATATGTATAAGCTTTTTTCACTTCTTGATTTGTCATTTTACTTTCTTTCTTTCTTTCTTTCTTCCTCTTCCCCTTTTTTTTTTTTTTGGTGGTTTTGCTGGGCACAGGAAGTTGGTTTCAGAGAAGAATAGAGACTTGTTATAGGCACTGATTACTTCTTTGGCTCTTTGGGCCTTGCTGATCTATATAACTTCTAAAACAAATTATCTTAAATTTTCCAGAAAGTATAAAGAAAGGATAGTTTTCTGAGAAAAAACCATAATGGCATTTGTTACCTTTATATCCATATCAAATAATTGTGCATGTCATGACTGTCCAATTTGGCAGTTGCCTAGGAAGGGGTAGTTAATTTTGAAACTAAATTTGATGAAAAATAGAGATAAGGAATGAAAAGCTGGTGGTTCTAGGGTTTCTGGTGAGCTGTTACCATGGAATGACAGTGAGGGTGGGACATTGCTGGTACAACTCATTGAAAGGCGTGGAAACTGTGGACCACGTTGTAGTCTGCACAGGATGGATAAGTATCAGTGAACCAGCCTGAATGAATGGTTTTCTAAATCATGTAAAAGAGTTATGAAGGTGCCAAATACACACAAATCCTAGCCTGCCGGCCTTCTCCTTTTGAGGAATCTTTGTGCATGCTAACCTCTTATTATTGCTTGGAAACTGTCTCTGGATTTTCTAGATGCCTTAATCTTTAGGTCTTTCATGTGTTGGTTTTCCTCGTGCACCTTATATATTGGTTATGCCCGCATTTCTGCCTTTCTTTTTGCTTTCTGTTCTAAGTTCATTGCTTATTAGAAAGAAGGAAAAATGAAAATAAAAAAATGATTAAGCAAACGAAGGAAAGAAGAAAGTGATTGAATTTAATTCAAGCTCTTAAAGATGGCAAAACCTACTAAATCAAGGCCTTGCTTTTAATCAGTTTAACCAATTTCTTACTAGCTCTTCTTAAACTTGGACTAATTTTACCATATATAGGGGCTGTTAATACATGTAATCTTTTACTGTCATGTTGTAATGATTGGGAAAACAGCGCATTGGAATTATGGTCAGTTAAGGCATGTTTTTCTTAAGTGAACATTGCTCTGTTTTGACAACCCATGCAGCCTTGTGCAATTCAAAGTTGCAGTTTATCCTAATTAGCCATTTCGATTCTGGTTGTATCCTGGTTTGAAAACCTCAATGAATAGTATCATTTGTATGCAGTAACGTCTTTGTGACAACTGAAGTTATCTATTAATCAAGTACAATCTAAGGCAATATAAACCATGGTAATTAGGACTTTCTTTACCACTAATAAAAATATTAGGACTTTATTTACCATATGAAATCAAAGTATGTCATGATTCTATGAAGTGAACTGACAATTTTATATTTCAGGGGTTCCTTAGCATTCTGGTGCCTCTAATTCTTATTTATCAGAATGCTTACGATTCCCTAGTGAAGTTAATGGAAAAAG